TCTATTTAGTAGTGAAAGCAGCTTTCAGTTGTTGGAAATATCGTGATATACTGATGCTAAACCCAAGTATTGGAAGTAAACTAAATATAGCTGATGTTTTGCGACGTTTCTACACCGTCTATAGTGGACAAGCACCATTTATCGGTTCTTGGCTAAAACCGATAGTATTAATGTTGGGTCTTGATGCTATTCGTCGAATTTTGGTAGTAAATGTTAATCATTTACAAGATCGCGGTTTATACAATAATGTAAGCACCGATCCGTTAACACAAAATCTTATCCAGTTAGGTGGAACGGCATGGAAAGAATTACATGATAAAACTAAACATTTATGGTTAAAAGATGTAAGTTGCGGCATTAGTATTTTCGAAGCTATACTCAATCAAATTAAAAGTTATTTGGATGATCCCGTCTGAACTGGACCATCGCCAGCTAATGGCATTATTCATGTAGACGAATATTCAGAATTTCATCGTTTATGGTCGGCTTTGTATTTTGTTTATTGCATACCTATAAGAGGCACTGAGTATACCATAGAAGAACTTTTCTATGAAGGTCTCAATTGGGCCGGTTGTGCAATGATTGTTCCATTGGATCAATAAAGGCGGTTTGAAGCTTTGGACTTTTGTTATCACATCTTAAGAGTGCAGCGTGTTCATGGCAGAGATGACGATGTCAAAGGGATTGTAAGTCTTAGTCTTTTAACAGTTATATTAATTTTCTATACTATATTAATTATATCTAACCTATATAAGATACATCATTGGTATTAATAGCGAATAAAAGTGATTTGGAGGCTTTAAGAAGAGCTTCCACCGGGAAAGTTAAAAATCTACCCAATCAATTCGGTTGTCCACTTTTTGAGACGGCGGCGGCTTTAAGGCTTTTTATCGACGACGTAGTTTACGCTAATCCGTGAGATTAGACGCAAAGAAAAGGAAGAGGAGCTTTAGACAACGAATATGGAAACAAAACAAACGCCAATTACAAAAAAAGTCATACCAGAAGGAAAGTTGAAGAAATTATCTGTAGAATTTATTGTTTCCCTTCAAAAGCATTCCACTCGTAAACGTAAATTAATTCGAATTAACTTATAATATATATAATATTTAATATAATATATAAAATTTAATATAATATAAATAATTTAATAAACCATATTTAGCTTATGTTCGTTTGAAGCTCAGATATATATATATGTTGCAGTCATTGTATCAACCTTTTCAATTTTAATCGTTGTTAGAGTTTTGATGTTGCTCGTGGCTATTGGTTTCTTATTGCAATTGTCGTATCTTTGCTTTTTCACCTTTTCCGTTTAGGTTCGATGGAGAATGAAGAAGAAAAATCTTCGATTATTGAAGGCAAAAGTATTACTGCTGCTGTGCTGTTGTGGTACAGAATTTCGTTCCTTTAGTTTGACCTTTCTATTCGCTTAACATTCACACTTTATACAACATGTCTGTTTTACTGGTGTTATTAAAAAAAAAAAAAATTTTAGGAAAATAACTTTAAAAAAAAGAAGGAGGGAGCGAAAAAAAAGGAAAAGAGTTTTAAGAAAGTAACCAAATTGTTTTAAAAAAATTTAAAGGAAGAAAGGGAGAGAAGAAAGAAGAAGAAACTGAGAAAAAAATTAAAAAGCAATATATATTAAACTTTTTTATTTTTTTCGTTCTAATTTTTTTTGGTGGTCCCCGTGATAACAACCAAAACAACGTCAGCCCGTCTTCCTATGGAGATTGGTTCTGATCGAATAAATACTCATAGAGACTGTTTTGAAGACATAAATGTCACTGGGCGCACCAAGAGATTGAGGATGGGTGATAATGTATGTTTGCCGCCATATTAATTTATATATGATATTTGCTATTCTTCTTTTTTTTCTCTTTAAACGTGTACACATATACATAAATAAATATATTTATATTATATATACATACTTATATATATATACACATGTATGTAGTATAACAAATAACGGCGTCAAGAGACTAGTTGTAGCAAAATTGAAGTAATTGATTTTCATTGAAGTCAGGGTTTCTTCCCCAATTCCTAATGCATCATACTTTTTGATTATAAAACGCTTTAGTTGCTATCATATTCAAAAGTAGCATTTTTTAATTGCAAAATTACAGGAGATTCATTCGCCAGATCAATGGCGAAATTATCTTTAACAACTTTAACTCGTAATAAGAACCGAAGTCCAAATCCGGTAACTGTGTTATAAAAAAGAATACAAATTCCATGCATAATATCATTTTATAATTGAAAGATCTTACATCAATTAATTTCTGAACACGTTTTATAGAGATCCACGATTCAACCAAGCCATTCAAGACCCATGGAAATGCATTCAATGGCCCTATAAGTAAATTTATTAGGGCAACACTTGCATAAGTGGTAGTGGCTAGAGGAGAGCTTCTCATCCATACGGAAACACCAAACGTAAAAAAGCACGTTAATGCTGGAGTAGTTGCCCAAAAATACACACAACGCATCTAAATATTTACGTTTTGAGAAGAATTTTATTTCTCCCTGACGCAAAACTCTTATTTTTTTATAAAAACATTTTCCCAGGCTTAATCTGTTTCGCCCCTCTTATAACCTCTTTTGTGTTTGAAAGACGAGCATCTTTAGCTGACATTAAATTAAACCTTGTGAAAACCACCGAGCCCGGATGATCGAAACCCTTCTTCGGGCTTTTCTTTTATGTTATAATTTAATTTATATATAAGTTCGCAATTGAGGTGCGAATCCATTCGCGTGTGCCGATATTTGTTGACGCTTTAACCTGTTGTACAATTTTAAAATATGCTCGGATGGTCTCGTACGTTTTCTTTGGTTCACCGCCGTCTTAATAAAAAAACGTTCTCGGAAATTTATCCTGCTACCTCGATGCTAGAGTAAGCCAACATCATGGTGACGAAATTTTTATGATCGTTAAAGTGTCGGTGATTAATTGTTCCCATTGAATGGCAGTCTTCAGGTACTCTTTTACAGCTTGTAGTATCTCTTATTTGTGCTTCCAATTGTCGGCCGTTATTGGACTCCTATGGAGCACGTTGGAGAAGTTTGTTAACATTTGCAGAACTTTAATGTGCGCTCGGCACTGTTCCTTTCCTCGCCTACGTCGAACGTGTTCGCATCTATTGCCGCCTGGACTGACGCTAGTGTTATGTCACTGCGAAAGAATACAAGTTCAGCGGCATTCCATGGAGATGACACACTTTGCACGACAAGATTTCGGCCTGTTTCTGCTTGAAAGTTGTGCTTGTAAGTTAAAGTTTAATATTTCGTCAAATTATGTTGTACATTCGAACGATATGAGCAGTCGTGGAGGAGCAAAATTATTTTGCTGCTGCCGTCTGCCTGTTTGCTTTTATACACACCCTTGAAAAATTGCTTTCTTCTCTCTTTTTTGGGCGCCGATCTGTCGCAAACGGCAGCTCGGACATCTAGTCCGATCTCCTCTGCTAGCTTGATGACGTTGTTTCATTCGCTGGGATCACCTTTATGACTAGTGTTTGGCGTTGCACTTAGCATGATGTTGAACAATGTCAGTAAACTTCGGGCGGCGAATATAAGTACTGATACGTACTCCACCATTTTTCCTTTGGGCGAGCACCTTGTATTTAGCTCGGCTGTCGATTAAACTTTTACTTGTGTAGACTTCATTGAAATTAATCTGGACTATCTTGTCCACTTCGCTTTCAGCTGAGTCAACTTTCTGGCCTTTACTTCTTTTCAATACGTCAAGTTTTTCTTGGAGCTGTTCCACTTGACGCATAAGTACCGCGTCCCTCGATGTGCTCGGACCGTCGTACATGGGAAGTAAAATATTTTCCACTATGCATATGGGGCTTCATGGCATCATCATCATACTATTATTCGGCGATTTTTACGAAGGAAATTTAAAAATCGCCATTTTTTATGTCCCACACCACATGTGGTACAGGATGTTCTTGTTTGTGCGAATATATGTAATACACCCAGAAAAACTTAAGATGGACCCATCTTTTGTTAAACCGGTCAATCCACAGTCATTACCTGAAAGACGATGAAAATAATAGCAAATTGACAAAGAAATCAACCTTACCAAATTTGCATATCGTAGATCTATCTCCTCTTCTATCTATCGCCTCTTTTCTATCTTTGAAAAATGTAAAAAAGACCTAGTTGTTAATGTTTTATCATGAAAACTTGTTCATGATGGTAATTGGACGTAAGAATTAAATGGGCCAAATTTGAACCACATGGTTGTGCTTCTTGGACTCCACTCCTTATAAGATTTCTCATGCAAGATTTCTCCCTTTCAGAAAAATGCGTACCTTTTGAAATCGTGTCCATAGTACCAGGTTCGCAAAAAACATTAACAGTAGGGAGCTTGGAACATATATACGGGTTATCATGAAAAACAAGCTCGTATATGCAGGTGAAGTATAATTTCTAGTTTCCTCTGATGAAAATTGAAAATTTATAAAATTTGTGGGAAAGTAAGTTAAGTTTACTAAATTTGGATCACCTCATATAATGTGTTTGACATCCTTCAACATGCGGGCATGAAAGCAGTGCGTAATTTTTGATGTGTTATTACCAAAGAAAAAAGTGGTGCAGCGTATTTAGTGGTGGGCCTAACCCGACTTTAATGTTCTTACCTGCTTTTTATATAACGACTTAAGGGTGTCCGAAAAAGTTCTCCAATGCTAGCTATTTTCAATAGCGTTCTTATTTGGAACCAAACACCCCACTATACCATATTTGATTAAAAGATCTGAACAAATCAATGTTTAGCTAGAACACAAACATAAACATGGACATACATTAGGGGGACGGACACGCTTTAGTCGATTCCAAAAATTATTCCGAATTGAGCGGAATAAAAAAGGATATTTCTCTCACAACTTCCTGGATGTTACATATTCGTACAAACCTTATATACCTGTTGCCAAAATGGTGTAGGGTGTAACTAATTATAGCTACTTTTCTTCTTTGAAAGAGAAACCTGTTTTTTGATGTTCATTTTGAAACACATGCATAAGCATGATTTCGATTTATTCAAATTATCAATAACCGTTTATTTAAAAAAAAACTTTTTTTACAAAATTAGACTTAGTTACTAGTTAAACCAAACCCTTAAATGAATACAAAGGAAAAACTTATTGATATGATCAAAGGTTAATTAAGAAGAGATTACTTATGTAAATTTATTCTTATACGACTTGCTGTCACGAGTAAAAACAAAAGTATTTACGAAATTTTAATTATATTTTTTTTTTATCCGAAGACACTAAACAATTAACACTGACACTTAGCACTTTACGGCGTTGAGCCACCATATGCATATATAGTTTCGGAAAGAGAGGTAAATAGGATAACATGACTATCCATAAACATATGTAATAAGAAAATGTCACGTTATATTTATTTGGTAATTCCATAGACCATACCGAATTACTTTTAGCGTAACTTTGTGCCCACCAGAAACACAACAACTCACCACTAACTCCTATAGGATATAAAAAGTAAAAGGTAGTGTAGCGCAGGAATGTGATAAAATGAGGAACATAATTTATTATGTTAAGTGCATAATAACTATAACGTATGGTCTCAGTAACTGACCAAGCGAAAAGGGCAGCAGGTAGACCGGGTGATAATTTAGCAGTTGGAGTGGCCATTATTACTCCCACTACAACAATAATGCGGCTGAACACTTGAAAAGCAGTAATCACTGGATTAGATTTAACAAAACCGAGTGAAGCGTGCAGAATTTCCAGGAAGGCCGCATTCTGAAATATAATCACTGCGATGCGAGTATAATTCCATAGAGTAATTTGTGCTCTAAGCCCGGATGATTGCAGTAAATAATAATCTATCAACAGATATAGAATGTAAGACCAACCTAGCACTTGCACGGCATTGTAGATAAGTAAATATGCTTTAATTATGGCACTGTGCTCTTTCGTTGGAGGTTTCGTTGCGTTTGGAGGAGTCATTACTAAATGTATTTTTACTTATTAACTCTATTAATCAACTTCTACTTTTCCCTTGAACTTCCCTAGCGCAAAGATAAACTACGCGACAATGCAATGAAAAACGCACTCAATCAAATTTTGTACTGAAAAATACTTTAAGCGGACAGATGTGTAAGCTGAAAGCAAAACAGATAGAAAGCATGGTTGTATCAGAGAATTGACAATAATAAATCGATTTTATTTGTAACAGAAAAACCAACACCGTTCTTTCATCATCAATTTCGTTTGTTTTTTCCATACCTCCTTTTGAATTGTAAACCATTTCGTATGTTTTTTCCTTACCTCCTTTTGAATTCATATTTTTTCCATACCTCCTTCTGAATTGTAAACAGATTTTGCTCCTTTAAAATGGTTAATTGTCGATATGAATATATTTAATATTGTCATATCAATCGATGAAATTACTTTATGTATACTCAATTTTAGTTATATCAAGAAAACTAAACCTTCAACTTCAATTATAAAGACTCCTAAAATCGCAAACCATGCATTATTTCTATCTATGGTACTTGTTATTTGTTGTTGTTCGTGACCGGATTAGTGCATGGATTGCATGTGAGGCTTTTGAAAATTGGAAAGGAAATCATTACGCGTTTAAATAGTAATATGTAATAATAATAACACCACCCAACTCTAGATCCTCTTACGGAAAGGATGCAGTATTTAATCAAAACCTAGGAAAAAGCTGTCAAAGCTATCAAAATGTCAACAACAAAAAAATATCTTTTAAACGTCCCTGTATATTGCAATATCGTAAGAAAGAAGAAATTGAAATTATTTTATCAAACCATCAAAAGAAAAGACACAAACTGAAGAAGAAGAAGTTCTCGTAGCAGCTCTTATGGTGAACTTAAAACAGAATTTTCAGGAAAAGAAAAAATTATTCAATAATTAAAAGAATGCCTTCTAATCTTGATGACGTAGATTTAATAAAACTGGTTGAAAGCTATCCTGTACTCTATGCGAAATATCAGGGACGCGGTCAAAAGATTGCTCTAGTCAAAGATCACGCTTGGCGTAAAGTGTCCGACGAGCTCAAAAAATCCGAAAGAGCGTGTATAACACGTTGGAAAAGTATAAGGGATCGATTTGGCAAGGAACTGAGGAGGGCACAGCAAAATCCGCAAGAGCCCACCAATTGGGATTTGTTTCCTTATTTGCTTTTTTTAAGGGATCATTATAAACAAGGGTATTAAACGTTATCAAAGCATCTTTTGAAAATAAATGTGCTAATATTTTTGCCTATTTTTAGATGTGCTAATATTGAGTCTCTCGAATGTATAAAATATGAACCTAAAGCGCGAAAAAGAAAACCTCGTCTAGAAGGGGAATTCAGTGAAGATGATCAGTACAATGAATTTACTAAAGATAATGCAGATCCTAAAGATCTGACATTGCAACGGAAATTAATTGCTTTGGTGAAGGAACATAATGTGCTTTATGACCGGTGCAAAGTAAGAGATTCCAAGAATTTAGCCGCAAAAAATGAAGCTTGGCACGCCATATCGAATGCTTTGAACGTTACAGAAGAGTTCTGTTATAATAAATGGAAAAAGCTGAGAGATCGATTCTCACGGGAGTACCGGCAATACCAATCACATCCTCAAAAACAAGTTCAGTGGATTTATTTTCAAGATTTAATATTTCTCGAAAGTCATTACAGGAAAGGTAAACCTCTGCGCTTAGCAAGCACAAAACGCAACACCATATCAATTGTAACACCTGAAGGTGCTTGGAGATCAGAGCTGAGTAAGACGCCCTATGAATATACTGCAGGTGAAAATCAACTGATAATTGAAGATTGTAACTCTGACTTACCAGAATTGCCGGACAAGTCGACTGAGGAATATCTGTCCACAAATTCTAAAGAAGAGACAGTAAAAAATAACATTGTTATACAAATGAAGTATTTCAATGATATGCACAACGACGCTGAGGAAAAGCTCTCCAATCTGATTACCAACATGGAATGCGTAGTAAAACAATCTCATGAATGTCTCAAAAGTTTGCAGCATCAAAAACAGCGCTACAGGCAAGAAGGAGTGTTAGAGCAAAGTCACACTAAAACAAGTTGGCAAGCGGACGTGATGCGGAAGATTGACACACTATTAAAAGGCCTATCGCTTGAGCAACGTGAAAATGCTGAACGTAAAATACTACATTTTTTATGTGAATGCCAAATTAAAACTTTAAATAATGAAAATATCGAAGATGTTATTCCGATCCAAATATAAAACAAGAGCGCTATGCTTAAGATTAATTAATCATTATTGGACAAAGTTATATTTACTAATGTGTGTTTTGCTTTGTTTGTGTGCTTTTACTTTGCATTCGGTTTCCGTTGAAAATCGTTTTGGTGCGTTTGGTATCTCACAATACTAGAATTTCAACTAATTTTTTGTTAATGAAGTGAATTACGAAACGTTACGTATTATTACTATTAATAATTTATTTGAATGACAAATTTTTCACGGTCTGGAATATTTTTTATAGTAAGGGATGTTTGAATTTTCATTTATTGAAAGCAACTCCGTCTTATTTTTTTTAATAAACGATGTAGGGGGAAAAATTATGTAACGGCATATAGCCGTTTTATCCAAAATTTAACTTAATGCAAGTCAATTAGTTTCAAGCGATTTCCCAAGTATGCAACTTACCTACGCTAGCACTAGAAATAATATAGTCTCAGTTGATGCCTTAAGATCATCCAGAACGAATAACATTAATTTATTTTAATCTTTATAACTTTGCACTTCCAGCTGATGACAATTAATAATAAAAATAGGCAGTTTTTATATATCTTTAGATTCTCATTATATGAAATTGCTGCTTACAGTTTGAAATTTTGGTTTGACATCTCGAACTTAGGTCATATGCGATAGTTAAGAAGCTATTCTTTTTTTTTTTTTTTTATATAACCCTGTAAGAATCAACCTTTGTTTGATCGTATTCCAAAAGCAAACATAAGCCGTGAAAAAAAACGAGGAAAAACGAGAAACGCAACAGCAACAAAAGGTAGAAAAACAAACGTAAATTCGAGTCCCTCCAAACAAAAATTAATAAAATCAGATACAGAAAAGAAGAAAAAGAACTATGTTCGCTCATTGTTATAGCAGACTTTATTCATCGGAGTCAGAATTGTTATACTAATATATTGTTGATTCATTAAAATTAATGAAAACTTTTTCGAATCGCAGCTAACGACAAGAGTATATCTTCTAAGTGTGATTAAAATGAGTGGCATTTGAGGGCGGCATTTTATCAACCCTCACAATTTTTAAATAAAAGAGAAATGGGTCAGGACGGCAAATGACAAGATGGCACAATCATCTAATCACCAATCATTTTTCCACTTGCAGACGTTTAGAAAAGGAAAAATGGCCTGCCACGTGCTAATTTGTCTCCTATAATACGTTTGTTTTTATTTCACTGCAAAGCCATACGCAACAAGTGGTATCGGACAGAAAATCGAAAGATCAGCCGTTGCACCGTCTTTTCAGTCTTTTTTTTGTGCCCCTTTTACTCAAAGTTGTTAATTGTGTATTCGCGGGTGTGCGCGTATATGTTATGATGTTTGTTGTTCGACCTGCAAAAATCAAAACAAATATGATTCTGCTTGAAGTCAATAAACAAAATTAAGCATTTTGGTCGGGTGAGTAAAAAATGTTTGAAGAAGACACATAAGTGAATATAACAACAGGACGTTAAAATTTTTGATTTTTTTTAGAAAAGATTGTGAATGTAATTATTTAATTATAAAAATGAAACATATGTTTAATTGTTTAGAAAAGAAAATAAAAAAAAAAGCTTTGTGTTTTATACAGATATATATAAAAAGAGTGGCGTACGTGACTTACGAGTGTTTGCTAATGGTGGCAGAGTTCAATACCAAAAAGAAAACAAAGATTGTAATAAAATACAATAACAACAACGTCTAGTTCGAAGCAAAGAACTTGCACATGCATACAATAAAAAACTACCAATCATAACGTTGTTAGAATTTTTTTCATATAAAATACCGACTTAGAGGATGCGATTTAGTGAAATACTAAAGTAATTGGGAGAAGTGAAAATTAATTTCAAAAAAATATATATAAAACCATAATTTAATAGGTATTTATTTAGCTTTATTTGAAATAAATGTGCGTGTTCACAAGATTATTTGAATTTCTTTAATTATTATACAGCAAAGCAGTTTCACATTCAATTCAATATTTAAATATTTTTTCAGGAGTTTTGTCGCTACGTACGCATATTATACAATAAAAAAAGGAAATACGGAAATCAGTGTTGTGGCCGCTGACTAACTTGCAATCAAGTTTTAATCATCTCAATTAGATTAATTAACAACAATCACGTAAGAAACAAAAAGTAACAATCACATCATGTTGGACATTGCTGTCCAACCTAATGCAGTTATAGCAAAGGCCAATTCACAAACCTTACCGCCATCCAGCGAGATTTCAGCACACAACTCTACCGATATTGTGGTGGTGAAAGCTAAACCGAAAAAGGTTTTCAAGCCTAAGGCCCGACTTAATCGCATACCTCAGTCGTTACTGGATGATCCTCTTTTACAAAAGGCTATTGAGCGTTTACCATGCAATTATAATTTTGAATTGCATAAGACCATATGGCGAATCAAAGAGATGAAAGCCAAACGTGTGGCGTTACAAATGCCAGAAGGTTTGCTAATGTATGCCATCGTCCTTAGTGATATAATAGAACGTTTCACAAATGCTGATACTGTAATTATGGGAGATGTTACTTATGGCGCTTGCTGCGTAGATGATTATACGGCCAAAGCTTTAGGAGCTGAACTTTTAGTGCACTATGGTCACAGTTGTCTGGTACCCGTTGATCAAACCGAAGGCATTAAGGTGTTGTATATATTTGTGGATATAAAAATCGACCCTTTGCATTTCTTGGAATCTGTCAAACTAAATTTCAAGCCTGAAGAAGGGCAAATAGCTTTAGTGAGTACTGTACAATTCGTTGCAACATTGCAAGTGGCCTGCGCAGAGCTTAAAACCGCTGGTTATGATGTTATAGTGCCACAAGTTAAGCCTTTAAGCCCGGGTGAAATATTAGGTTGTACATCACCTAGTCTGCCGCCGACCGCAAAGAAAATTATTTATTTGGGCGACGGTCGTTTTCATTTAGAGTCTGTTATGATAGCAAATCCTGAGATAAAGGCCTACAAATATGATCCTTATGAGAAAAAATTTACTATTGAGTTATATGATCATTTGGCCATGCAATCAATGCGTTACAAAGAAATATTGCGAGCCAAGAAGGCTACAAAAATTGGAATAATTTTGGGTACTTTAGGGCGGCAAGGGAGTGCGCGTGTGTACAAATACTTGGAAAAACGTTTACTACTTCGTGGCTTTAAAGTTACCACCATATTGTTATCGGAAATATATCCTCAAAAGTTGGCTTTGTTCAAAGATATTGACGCTTTTGTACAAATAGCTTGTCCACGACTATCTATCGATTGGGGTTCAGCTTTCGACAAACCGTTACTTAATCCCTATGAGCTGTCGGTAGTATTGGGTGACGTAGAATGGACGCCACAAAACCGAACACCCAAAGAAACGGCATATCCAATGGATTTTTATGCAACTGGAAGTTTAGGACCATGGACTCCAAACTTTAAGCCTCCACCTTTAGGCGAATGTGAAAATCGACCATCCGCTGCGTGTTGCGGCCGCTGCACTCGTGCTGAACTTGAAAAGGATCACCGTACAAATAACTCGAAAGACGGGCTGGAAATACTAAACGATATTTTAGATTTTAGAAGAAGTTAATTGAAATAAGTAAACTAATACTTTATGAACTAATTATAAATATCTTAAATATGAAATGAAAAGGCTCATTTTATAGATACATGCACATAACCGTTCCGATGTAGAAATATACTTATGTTGATTTTGTTTTAATTGGTTTGTAGCTGTTTTCCTATGAATTGCCTACGTACTAATTTAATTTTTAATTTAATCTTTAATTAGTTTTAGCGATATTTTTACGGAAGGAAGTTACGATAAAAACATGGATATATATATAGATTCTTCGCTGTCGCTCATATTGTATTGACTGATCTACTTAAATTTTATTTACCATTTTATTTATTTTTCCATCATTGTCGTGGTGGGCAGTATTTATATTGAAACGCTATTATTATTGAATCCTTTTTCAGTAAGATGTAGTTAAATTTAAAGTTTTTTTTGTTCTTGTGTATTTATGTTTACATATGTTTCTGTATAAAATGAGAGATTGTCATCCTTATAAACGTACATACTATAATGTTATTTTGCACCCAATCTATTCTTAATGCAAAAAAGAATTTTTAACGATATATATGAGAAAAGAGATCGTTGGAGTAGTTACGATCCCGCCAATCATCGCGAAATTATAGAAGAATATGAGAAGGTGGAAGAAGCTAAACAGCAATTAAAAGCCGAAAAATTAAAGAATGGTTAGTAGAAACCTCTGAAATTTCTATTCCTATATGCATTGCCAGAAACTGTTTATTAAATTAGATCCTGATGCGGAAATATCTCGCATGGGAGGCTCATGGTAAGGGGGTCGATGTTCATTTATTGGCTGAGCCTACCAAGCTGGAGCTATTACAAAAAGAATACGAGAAAAAGAAGGAACAGTTCAAATCAACTGTAAGAATCGGAGGTCAATTTAGTTTAATCATTCACAACGTAGCGGCTTTTGGAGATTGTTTTGAAAAATCTCCTACTAACCTTGTGAAATCCAAAAAAATATAATAACGAAAATATTAGCCATTGGGATTTTCTCTCATAAACAGTGCCTGTACTAGTGCTATATGACTTTACTCTTTTTATCTTAAAAATTTGTACCACTGTATAATTTTGTTTTACCGTGCAATAATATATTTTATTTTTTTTCAGACGAAGGAACATATTGTGGAAAAGTATGGTGGTGAAGAACATTTGCAAGCACCACCTAAATCGCTACTGTTGGCCCAAACCGAAGATTACATAGAATATTCGCGTAGCGGTAAAGTCATTAAATGAATGGAAAAACCAAAAGCTCATAGTATATATGAGGAGGATAATATATAAACTGGGATTATCTGGGAAAAATGAAAATCTCATATTAATTCTTTCCATGTATTCATACAAGTGCTTGAAATATAACATGTTAACATGATTTCATGCTTGTCGATGATTTCATTTATGTTTTTCAAAATAAAACTAATATTTCGCCTGTATGTCACAATACGCTGTCATATAAGCAAACACTCAATCAACCGACAAACTAGTCATGTCTATCCACATTAAACTCGAAAAGTTTAGTTCACTCACCGCTATAGAGCAGAGGCCTGATGATATTGTGTACATTTGTATGTATGTACAAAGATACCAATATATATATATATATATATATATACACACATATATATACACACATAAACTCATATAGGTCACAGTTGTGACATTTGTATCTAATAAAGGTACTTCCATCTAATGTTCTCATAGAATATTGATCTAAGTCACGCATTCGCAGTGCAGTGCTCATTTTTACACTCATTCTGGGACTTTGCATTTCGTACATTCACGCTCAACCAGTGGCTTTATTTATTATTACAACAATTGAAATAATTCAATGACTCAAAATCAACGCAGCCGATCAAGAAGTTGCTTTTTGAGCTTTCAAACGGGCCACCTCCTTTCGAACAGACTGGATATCTACCAATTAACTCCTTTACGGCAAGTCGTTGGCAATCCAAACGGATTATATAATCATCTACTCCATTATCCATAAAATCTGTGTGCAGCATAACAGACAGGGCTTTACTGCCATGATGCTCCACTTGGCAACGGAAGTAAATTAACGCTCAGCGTTCCGTTGTTTTCAAACATTTGTAGCGCCACGATAAATTTTGTGTTTCGGTCACGAACGATTGGTTTTATGCTCAATTTAGTCCTTATCCTAAAGGCAGTGCAAATTCGCATTGCCTCCAAAGGGGGTGCACCCAACAATACATGTAACGCGTCCGTAGAGACTTTCGACACGCGGGTAGACAAGCCAACAGAATGACGATAGCAGCTCAGAATTGTATTTTGGTCAACAAAAGTCGTGACTCTTCGATGCAATATTGGTGACCCATAAGTCGTACAGGCCATGAATAGTCCACCATACATGACCCGGACAGCATTTCTGGTTAAGCCCCATTCACACCGTAGGACATGACGAACCTACTCCAGCACGTTGAAAAGTTTTTCCTTCACTCTTTCAAAGTAAGGACGAAAACTTATCTGTGCTAATTCCTAGATACTTGACAACAGTCTTGCAACTAAAACTAGTCCCTTTCATTCTAATTCGAGACCATTCGGAGACTCTTCTTAAACTCCTCCTCAGAAAATAAGTCTTTAAAGTTCATCTCATATAATCCTTCCATAAAAGCAGACGGATCAAGCATTTTGTACACAGCTTGACACACCACCTTCGGGCCCGAGCTTCTCCTCAACAGAGACATTGAGCCCGACTTCCCCAAATTTTGTGTTCGCCACGATTTTCGTCCTTTCTGCAGCAGATAGGGTGCAGATAACCGCTCCACCTCCGCGGATTGGCTTCACGTTGTGTACACGAACACCCAGCGTCGCAGCCACCTGCTCCGCTACCTTCTTTACCACTTCCATCCCGATAACCGTAGCCTTTGAGCTGCGGACCACAACGGACCAGGTTTACAGTGTTGTAAGAAGTTTCATAGCCAGCGTTCCCCTCATGACCAGTTCAGGAACTCATCCTGTTCGGGGCGTCCCACCAAATGAATTTACAGGCAGAAAACAGCCAGAACCACTCAAGACCTTCGCGGCGAATGCGGCCTTTGAGAAGCGCAGTTTCCTCACAGTTTCCGCTGTTTTCACTTTATGCGTTCATTTTTTTAATACACTTTTAGCACAATTATCTTACTTTCAGTTTACACCACTTTTAACGTTCTTTTTTGTAATGTCAACAACAGAGCATAATAGAGTCTTTTCAGTATGTGTTTCTCCTTTGGTTTATTTTTTAAATTTGTAGACACTATTGGCCAAAACAATGAAAACCTTAATAGTTATTCCATCTAATTTTTCAATCGCGTACAAAGAGTCCATGTTGGTTATATATCAGGGGTTGATGTTTGCCAACTGTACTCAATCTTAATTGAACACAGATGTTGACCAGATGTTTGTTGACAAACTGTGCTCTGTTAAAGAATACCAGAAACATCAAAAATGATAGTCAGTGCTAAATCGAAGATGCTGGAATTTCCTCCAATATAAAATTAATCCAACTAAGTTATGTAATAAAATCGAAGAGAGAAAATTCTCAATCATTATTTTATTGCGGCGTAAACCACATTAACGGGTAGCGGGTAATCCGGGCGTATATATATATATATATTGATAGATGACATTAATCTAATTGTACCTGATTATAACTGTCTTTGTAAAGCAGCAAAAGTTACAATTACAATATTATATTTTGTATTGTAAGTTCTATTGAACTAAGTGTTTACACTATTTTGGTAAATCAACATTCTACATCATGTCTTAATGATTATTTATATGTACGGTCCACTTTCAGTTGGGCGACCATCTTCTTGTTTGTTAAATTATGGAGTAGCCAACATTGAAATAAAATAAAAATTTACCTTTAAAATAATTCTTATAATATCGATTACATTTCTAGCGAAGAAAAACCCCATTATTCTTGAGAACAAACAATGTATGACGGACCCTGGGATGTCGTAATATTAAACGTAAGCTGAGGTATATTAGTAGTCATATTTTTATAATGTTGGTTTTTGTATCTCGCAATGTTCAAATAAATAAATAAATAAATAAAATAAGTAAACAACCGAAAGCAAAAAAGGAGTGTTTTATTTGTGGTCAATTTTAAAAACATTTTCTCCCCTATACGTGCGATGATTGCGAATAAATTTGAAACACTTTCATGATTAATTTATTGAATTTGGGTGTTTGAAATCTAAAGTTCTCTAGTAAGATTCAAATCATTTCCTTATTTAATTTCGAAAGTTATATTGTAGCATAAAAGTTAAAGCTAAAGATACGATATGCCTTAACATTAGTAGAGATGGAACTTGATCTCATTTTGAGTAGGAATGATCGCGACAAAGAATAGTTGAAGATCTAATATGTTAATAAACGTTCTTCTGTTACGAAAAAAGTATTGCTCATTACACGTAGTTCAATGGTGATTATGGTTACAATGGTGGTGCTTCCTTGGTTCCTTCTCTTTTATGATATTTTTAAATTTTCATTGGAATAACGAGCCCTTCATCCTGCTATCAACCATTTATTTTTGCGATATATGGCTAATGATGTGCAATTAAAATTAATGAATTGAGAGCTTATATCTTTCCTTGGGTAAACATAACGCACTGCACTTACTTTACAAGCGAAAAGCTATAAAATTTAACCACATTTAATAACTAGGGGGTTATCTTTGATTCTAAACGTTTCCACATTGCCTTTGTTTGACTAATACGGCAGTATTCATCTGTGATGTGGACACCAAGCTACCACATTCGCTTATTAGAATCGAAACAGCTAGATTTTACGTTTTGCTCTTCGTGGCCCTTCTGCCCTATGAAAATAGGTCAAAACTCACTGACCTACGTATAAATGAAAAACAGATGAGATAAAACTGATTAAGTAAAATATATTCCAATATTCTACTTGCGCATACTTACCATATTTCCAAGCTTCATTTCTTTATTCAAAATCTTCTGCATGGATGCGTCAATCGAGCTACTCATTTCTCTAACATTATGTTAATAATCGCAATTTTCAGAAACAACCAAACAATGAACAATAAATACTAAGAGTACTCAAAGATGACCATATATACGAATCTCATTTACCTGATCGTCCGTTGCTTTTGTGATATTTTCAAATTTCGCCTTAAACTGATTGCAAACATACTCAGACGTTGATTCGAAAATAATAATCAATAGATAAGGAAGATAAGGGACTAGCTTATTGGTTAGATCGATACGACACGTTGTAAATCTAAAAAATAATTATAATATAATGAGAAATTTTGCTCGATTTTTTAATTACTGAAAATGAATTTACTTTCATATAAAGCAACCTTAACAGCTACAGATTGTTGAAAGCAATTTCTTAAAATTCCCATAATTTCCAAGGATAACATGACAAAATGTCGCAGGGATTTGTTCGTTGTTACATTGGCGTTTTAGGTAATGAAACCACAACTTGAAATATTTTCCTGAGTACAAATACTGCTTACGTTCACTTGCGACTGTTGCAAATTGCTGTTATTCAATTGTTTTAAAATCATACAAAAACCATAAACAGCCACGCAATGAAACTTGACATCACTACTATGCAATTACTTAAAAAATATAGAAAAAAATGCATTAAAAAGAATTAGTTCATAAAAGACCTGCACCGTGTGATCACCAGGCATCTGAAAATATTTATTTTTATGAATTTTTAAACAAACATCGACACAATTTAATACACTTTCGAAGCCCAAAGATATTTTAAGTTTCAGTTTTTCTTAAAATGTCTCATGTGCAGCGAGCAAATATGTCCTAAACTTCATATGCAAGTTAGGAGAAAACGTCAAGCGTTATAAATTCGTGTGCGAATAAATTCGTATATGAACAAGGAGAAAACAAACCGAGGCATTGCATCTTCGGACGGTTACTTTGTAGTAATTAATTACCCACTTTATTTGCCATCTGCGCTACCTAGTCCTTGTTTATCATATTATAAGAAAGACTATACATATAAAATTTCAAAACTTTTTGCTTGAAAAATAAAAAGTGTGATGATGATGACGGCTGTGCTCTCATAAATTTCAACAAACTTAAAGCGGCTTTGCAGTTATAACAAACTCACTCACAGAAAGCTTTCCGAAACATAGTTGATAGTGCCACGCACCCTGAAACAGTGAAGTGTCAATTATGCTTAATAATGTCAAACATTCAAAAAAATTGAGTTCATATAAATTAAAATATATGCAAAGACAACGCTGACTTTAATTAATTATCAGAATATTAATTTTGATATGGTTGTATTCTCATCGATTCACCCAACTTTTTTATAATAAAATGTTTCCGTAAGACTTCCGTTAGGATATTAAGAGCCTCTTATTGTAAGGGGGGAACTTTGTATGGTTTTAAGTAAAACAAATACTAAATTTAACTGCACTCAAATTGCAGCTAGGATTAGCCTGGTCATTTGAATAAAAATAAACAAGAAGAATACGAAATAATCACAGCTCATAGTTTGAGAATTAAGGTGCTGTTGCTGTCAAAATTTCAAAAACTGACCTCCGTTCCTCTTAAACATAAAAAGCTTAGAATAAAACTCCAAACCATAAAACATGACGAGAAGAAATGCGCAACAAGAACCGAATGTTTAAGATAAGGAGTCCGTCCGAAAAGCAATACATACTGTGGTTGGCTTTACTCATGGTCGGAATAGCGTTTAAAAAAAAAGGTGTCAGTATAACATACCGCATCGATGTAAAGTTCTAAAGAAAAAAGAAAATATTGATCTCTTTTAAAATTCTGCGACACCAATGAGTGCTGCACGCATTTGTTGCTCATTGCAACGAGAGTACATAAATTCAAATGATGCAAAATTATTCTTTCTTCAGCTTCTCTCCTTTCCTTATCAGAAAATGTGTCTGTAAGAAGGCATAAATTTATAAATTATAACTCTTGTATCCTGGATCCACATCTCAAGTGCGGTTGAGTTTTCAATAAAATCAATAACCTTAGATGCTGCTGCTTAAAATTTATTTCACTGGTTAAATTAATAATAATAATAATGACATAACTCTGGTAAATACCGATTTGTTTTAAATCGAACTTTAGTCTTCTTCAGTCATTAATTTAGAGATGGCAAATCTTTAACATGTCGAACATTCTCCGCGCCGCACTCGTTTATATTAAAGTATCTACTAAAACTTATTCTATGGTAAATAAATGTTTCGTTATTGTTTCTTTGATACCGTTGAAAGACTTTTCTACCGTCTCCTTTAACAAATTCAGTTCTTGTTGTTGATCTTGTAGTTGCGTTGGTAAATTCTTCAATTCATATTGTCATGGAACCGCCTTTCATCATGGAACCTAAATAACCTATTAATCCGACATCTGCTTCTTTTCTTTTTAACAGAATTTTGATCTATATTTTTTTTTTAACAGAAATTTGTGCTGTATTTCTCTCACTTCTCTCGCACTTCTCTCACACTTTAATATATTCGAAACGTTGCAATTTATTGAGAGCAATTCGGTGCTCTCTCCATTCTCAACAACATGGTCCTTTTTTTATAAACGATATGTAAGAAAAACCAGCAAACGTCTTTTAACCCAAAATCAAAGCTATTTTACAAGTGCACAAACAAATTTGACAAAATAAAAAATTGCAAAAAAAAAAACGAAATGTATTATAAAAAAAAGGAGAAGCACCAAATAAAATTTTATATTACATTAAAAATTACTATTGTGTTAAATAAGATATGTAAAGAAATGGTAAGAAAGTATATAAAAGCAAAAAAAGCCAAAAATTATTCAAAAAATAAAATTTGGCAAACTTGTTCAAAGCATACAGCGACCTGCAGGATTTTAGTCATGATTTAATCCGTTCTATACTCTAATCAAATAAATATATACATGGATATTAACTTACCACTATGTGGTAAAACAAATCGGCAAAAAATAAAAGTTTTTTTTGCTTCTTATGCATTTTTAGTGGGCTTATCGTCAAGAGAAGCAAAAATAAGAAAGAGAAATATTTGGAACACTTTTTAAAAAACAATAACGAAAAGTATATATGGTCATATGTAAACACAAATTTCTCGTAAAACCTTTCTCTATTAGTTCATATATACTTCGCATGTTCTTCTTGCAAAATAACATGATATAACATAAATTTCCCTCAATCTTACTTGAATTCACATTGCGTTTAATTACATATTATTTATATATATCAGTTAATTAGTTCACAATAAATATCTAACGTTATTATAAATTGAAAGTTAGAGGGGATCTGTTTATGCATCGATCAGATTTACTTGGAAATGGCACATAAAAGCAAAAACAATATAATAATTAAGAGGCTCCATTGACTACTTCCCCCAAAACGCAGCGGAATTATAATGGCGATAAATGAAAGTACCGTTAAAGTATGGTTTGGAACGACACCGATGAAGAATTAACCAAAGAATAGGATTGTTTAATTTCTGCCAATCATATATGTCCTGAACAAGGTATTCTTATGGTTGGCTACATGTTGGGAGGCTTCCCCATTCCCTATGATGAACCAGTAGATGATGATAAACTGAAATTGCCTGAAGGATTAAAGAATTAACTTTTATGGGTTCATTCCGTGCAATTTAGTTTACGATGAATACTTCAGTGGTCAATCTACTTATTTAATATTACACTGGAGGGGCATGAAAGCTTCAGCTAAAAAATTGAATGGTCTTGTAAAGGTATTATTGAAGTACAATCGCGCCATATTGTGTTGGAAAGTGTACACGGAAAAGAAAGTTGCACAAAAACTCTGACATTATTTTAAAGAAACGTTGCTTTAGCTTGGCCACAAACTTACCTGGATATACATCGTACGAACAGATGGACAGAGATGCCGAACGAGGTAAGTCATTAGGATATCTTTTTTAATCACATAATATTTATTTAAATTAGCCTCAACCAGATTGTCCAGCTTCATTGAATAAGTTATAAACGACTTCGTATTTTTTAGTATTTTTATACTTTCTTTTCACTATTTTTATACTCTCGTTGTATTTTAATGGTATTTTTATATATTTTATATATTTTTTAACTATTTCCCTCTGTTTCTTTTTTTTCTATATAAAAAATTTTTTTGATGCGCTTGCAAAATATTATTATTGTTGTTATTTTTATTAATAATTTCGCCAGAGAAATAAATTCTAAGACTAAACTCTTAAAGCACTAGCATCGAAGGCTATCGGCTTTGACTAAAAAATCTATTTCTAAGGCTGTATTTTCGATTTTGTTGGACACAAACCTAATGACAATTGTGTAGTTTTGATAATTCCTTATTTATAAATTGCCTACAAATATTTAAAGTATTTTATTTTAGTTGAACGTGTTATTGGGCCTATTACTCTGATACATTCACACCTCATTTCGCGTTGTAATCGATTATATTGACCACGTTCCAAGGAACGCTTACGTTATTTGAGTTTGCTGCGGAGGACGGTAAGGCGGTGTTTTACTATAGGAATTTGCTAATAGGAAATGGTTCTCACAGATTAACATTATTTTAATTTAACACATATTAATGCCGGCGGCATTGCAATTTAGCAGTTTATTTCGCTACTGCTTTGCCATTTAACAGATTATTGCACTACTGCTTTGCCTTTTTAAGAGAGAATTCCGCTACTGCTTTGTTTATTTTGATAACAAAAAAAAATCATGGCGATCTGCTTTTAGGCTAAGTTAACAGAAAAGAAAGGTCCAACTCTGTTAGAATTACTAACTCTCCGATTGAAAGCACGAATTCACTTCATGGCATAATAGTCGAAAGAAAAATAAAAAGTTTCGCATTAATTGCTAGAACATCGTTTTACCTTTTTCTTTGAATCGCCATTATAACGAAAATTTCGAAGTAGGATTTTTGGATTAAAATTTATTCTGTATAACACTTTTTTCCTTAATTTTGCATGTATTGTACGCTTTTAAAAAATGAGCGTATATTCGTTCTCAAACATTCAACAGATCTTTGTAAAAAAGCCATCGATGCGAGATTAAATTAAGGTTGCATGTGTATTTTCACAGAGATGTATCAACACAACGTTTAGTTTTCTATTCAGTCTCACCCCAGTTCTTAAGCAGAGAAGATGTGCTGACGGAGTTTTTTCGCAAATATAGCAATGCATTGAGTAAAGGTGTGTGTGCATTTACGCAGATGTATGGAACAATAATTGGCTGATGAACAAGACGGGAATTATTCAATAATTAAAAGAATGCCTTCTAATCTTGATGACGTAGATTTTCACGAAATAAACCGAAAGGTATTGAAAATAAATTCAAATACTTGTCGTATTGTCGGTTGACAAGTAAAATTGGTAGGTGATGTTTAGAGTCGGTGTTAATTTCAATATTTATCTCAGTCTTTCGTAGTTCAACCAACTCAAATAGTATTCGTTGTGAACAGTTTGGCTTGGCGTCAGGCATTCATTGTGTACAGCACTGCTATAACCGAAGACATCTATTATCATTGACTTGATGTTTAAGCGACTTTGGAGTGGTTTTTTCGGTCTTTGTTTGCCTTTTACACAATATTCACCCGGTTGATCAGTTGCTACCTGGTCTCATCTCATATTATTCCGCCATATCAAACTAAACATGTGAACATACGCCATCATTTTGTTCATGAAGCTGTTGAAACACACGATAGCTAAACTGAGTGTATTTCTACGGACAAAATATCTGCTGACGTATTAACCAGATCTTTAATATACCCGGTACAATACAATTTTTACAACTCTCTCCCTTGCTCACACAATTTCGGGTCATCAAATATTGTGAAAATTCAACTCTTCTTTGTTGGCCTGGACAAGCGTATACAATTATCAAGAATTTTGCATGTATTGTGCCCCTTTGAGAATAAGCGTATACAATTATCAAGAATTTTGCATGTATTGTGCCCCTTTAGAGAATAAACGCATATTCGTTCTCAATCATCCGTACTCAATAATTTCCGTATACAAATTCTATATAATTGAGAAAATACAAATTCC